TATGCATTTCATGGGTATGTCAAATGTGCCTCAATAAAGTTGTTTAAAAATACACACATATGCACAACTATTAACTATAGCCTGCCAGAAAATAAGAATGCACAATGTGAGCCCACACACCTTGCTGGTAAAAATGTAAAATGGTGCTGCTTCTATGGAAAGCTCTGTGATTTCTCAAAAAGTTAAACACTGATCTGCCATTCCACTCCCAGATATACACCAACAGAACTGAAAACATGTGTCAACAGAAAACTTTTCATGTGAACATTGGTAACAGCTAAAGAGTAGGAACAATCTAAATGCCTATTGATGAATGGTTAAGAAAAATGTGGAAAATAACTACCAAGGAGAATTACTAAGCAACAAGGAAATTCAAAGTACTAATCATGCTATGAGAGAGATGAATCCTGAAAATGGGGTGCTAAGTGAAACAAGCAGCCATGTGTTGTGTAAATCTAGTTATGGCAAATCCACAAAGTAGTTGTCAAGGCATGAAGGAAGTGGGGAACTGTGACTGACTGCCAACAGGTACCAGTTTCTTTCAGCAATGACAGAAACATACAGTTATGTAACAATTCTCGACGTCCAACTTTCCAAACCTACTAAATCCCACCAAATTACATACTTAAAAACTCAATTTTAAAAGTACAAGACAATCACTGATGTGTAGCCACAACGCAGTGAATGAAAATATTACAACTAGAGTGGCAGCTGCCTTACCCACACCCTGCCCTGCAAGGTCTTCAGGCTTCCGGACCACCACACAAAATGGCCCTTCCCCTATCTCACTCCTCAGATATGCAGAATGAACAACCCCTGGCCTAGGAGAACTAGTTCTTCCACCTGTCCAGGTCTGCACTCAGAGCTCACATGCCTGAGCATCGCACAGCCACCTTCCAATGGGTTCAGATTTCACCCCTGCCTTCTCTCCTAACAGAATCCTTCAAGAACCTAACTAAACTTCAATTCTGCATCAACAGAACTTCAGCCATTGAAAACTTTTCCTTACTGCCACAGAACAGATGATACAGGGACAATCCATTTCTTCACAAATTGTCGCTAATGAGAGAGAAGCACCAACTCTCAATTAGCCCTGGGCAACGCAAGGACTGAAGGGGGACAGGATAAAGAGCAAGCAGACAAAGGCCAGGCCAAGCCAAGTGGCAATGAAGATTCAAATGCAAGCCTGTGGCTGAAGACAGAAGACCAACTGAGAATGCATCCTAAGGAAATGCTTTCAAGACAGGGTAGTGGATGCCATATGTGGCCCCACTCACAGATCCAGAACTTAAACGTTAGTTCTCCTCTTTCCACACATTTTTCCAATTAAAAAAAAAAAACAGTTTACAGCAAAATATAGTGCAAAATAAAAATATAAAAATATAGTGCTAAATAAAAATGAAGACATTTAAAAATGTCAAACATATTGGGGAAATTCTACACACTGTTCTGTACACTGCACATCAAGCCACATATTTTTACTATCTAATGATCATTTGAAAACAGAAAACAAGTAAAAAGGACATAGAACATGAACAAAAATTCACAAATGGCCAATGTGCAAAGCAAAAAATGCTTAAAATGTACTTGTAGCCAAAAAATGTAGAAAGCATTTTTTAAGTATCAAATTCAACTTGGGGGATGGAAAGCAGGTACTTGGTATAGAGTTTAAGATGCTACTTAGGACGTCTGCATTCCCAGCTGTGATGCTTCCGGCTAATGCACACACTGGGAAGAAGCAAGCGGCGGCTCAAGTTCTTAAGTTCCTGAAGGCCACCTAGGGGACAGGATGCAGTTCTGCCTGGCTAGGACCATCTGTTCCAGGAACTGCAGGAGTGAACCAGTGGATGGGAGCATTCTGGCATACTCTCTCCCTCTCGCTCATCTTTTAAATACATAAAATGAATAAAAATTTCCTTTGGAAGTCAGTTTTAGACAAATGAAAATTAAGTACTTGGAAGAAGGCAGAGTGTTTTGTTTTTTAAAGATATTTATTTACTTGAAAGGCAAACTGACAAAAAAGGGGCGGGGGGGGGAGTAATGAGGAATTCCCCCAACTGCTGGTTCACTCCCAGACGACTGTACCAGACCAAAGATCCACATCTTCCACACAAGTTGCAGGGGCTCAAGCACTTGGGCCAATTTCCACTGCCCTCCCAGGGGCATTAGCAGGAGGCTGGATCAGACACAGCGAAACCTGAACTAAGAACTGGCCCTCCAACATGGCAGCGCTAAAAGCCTGCCAGGGGTGGGTTGGAGGGTGTACTTTTTCTAATTCTAAATTACTATTTTCACTTTCTCACATCCCTGCTCAACTATTCCAATCTGACTTCCACCTCCCACTTCTAGAACTGTGGATAGCACAACAATAAGCAAAACCAATAATATTCATGCTGTCAAATCCATGTGACGGTTCATTTGATAAACATTTCAGAATCACCAATAGGAGGCCCAATTCTCCCTTTCCAAGACCTACCTCCCTTTCTTAGCTTCGTGACTGCAGGCTCCTTCTTTTTCTCTTAGTTCACTAATCATATCTTGCATGCTATGCACAAGCTTCTTCCTCTAACACACTCAAGAGAATTCAAGTGCTAAAGTCCTTTTCACATCTCCTTCCACATTCTTTCTCTAAACAACCTTACATAGTTTGATACCTTTGCGTATCATCTGTATTTCATTATCTCTAATATTTTCTCTAGCTCTTGAATTCGTGTTTTATACACATATATCCAACTGCCTCAACATACTAACCTCATACTAGTACGCATCTCAAATTTATTAATTTTTAAAAGATTTGTTTATTTTTATTAGAAAGGCAGATTTACAGAGAGCAGAGACAAAGATCTTCCATCTGTTGATTCAATCCCCAAGTGGCTGCAACGGTTAGAACTGAGATGAGCTGAGCTGATCCAAAACCAGGAGCCAGGAGCTTCTTCCGAGTCCTCCAAAGCTTTGGGCCATCCTCCATTGTTTTCCCAGGCCTGAAGTAGGGAGCTGGATAGAAAGTGGAGCAGCTGGGACACGAACCAATGTCCAGACAGGCTACCAGTGCTTCAAAGTGGAGGGTCCAGTTGAGCCAATGCGCTGGCCCCTATTATTATTTTTATTTATCTGAGAGGGACGCAGCAAGTGCATATGAGCCTTACCTCCCCCCCATCTGCTAATTCACCTACCCACCAATGTCTAATGGCGCAGCCTAGGCCAAACAAGAAGCCCAAACCTAGGAAGGCAGGAACTCAATCCAGGTCTCTCAAACAGGAAGACAGGGCCCCAACACATGAGACAACATTGCTGCCTCCCACCCAGTCCATACCAGCAGAAAACTGGTGGCTGGAGCTGGAGCTGGGCATCTAAGACAAGAATATCCTCAGGTGGAACCCAAGTACCCTAACTGGCAACTAGGCCAAATGCCCATCCTTGCACCTTAATCACATCCAAAATAGGATTCATGATGTTTCCCACCTCAAATTTCTCTCTCTGTGCCACAAAAAGCTGCTGTTGACACCGAGTTCCCATGCTTTATGTCGGCTGCTCTCTTCTGACCCAGCTCCTCACTATCACAGCTGGAAAAACTCCAGATGATAGCCCAAAAGGCTTGAGCCCCTAACCCCCACATGGGAAACCAGGGTGGAGTTCCTGGCTTCAGCCTCGTTCAGCCCTAACCACTGTGGCCATTTGGGAAGCGATAAAAGATTTTTCCCTGTTTCACTGCTTTTCAAATAAATAAATAAATCTTTTACAAATTTCTTTTTTCTTTCTCTTAATTTGGCACACTAAGTTGTCCAAAACAAAGATCAAGCAAAGATTCCTCCTGTTCCCTCACCAACTTATCTCCATTGTTCCTTGCACCATCAAAACTTTTTTAGCCTTTTTCACTCTTGCCCATCTCCACTGCCATGGGCCCAGACCTGGGCCCAGTCCCAACTACAGCAAAGAGCATCTAAAGGGAACTCCCAGCTCCTACTCCTCCTTTTTCCTCCACTCAGCAACCCATTCATGCTCCCCCTTTACCTGCACCCATCAAGCCCTTCCTATGAACACCGAGGGTGTATCACTGTCCCTATCTTGGAGGAAGGATACCCACAACCAAAACGTATACACCCAGGGTCAGCATCCTTGGTCAGGAAAGTCAAGGTAGTTCTTCCTCACTTCGTATTGTATTTATGATCCATTCTTGCTACCTGTTTTTTTTTTTTAAAGGGGGTGGGGAGACTGATACCGCTGACCATATAAAACATTACATCGCATTTCTACAGGTTACTGAGAAAAGGGAACGGAAACTAGCGGGTCCACTCTAACGGCTAAGACACCTGTTCAGACGAAAACACTAGCCAACAATGTATCCTAACACTAACGGTTTGTCAGGGCTGGGGGAATTAAAGGTGATATTTTCCCGCCTCTACTTGCCATTTTCTAATACAATTACAATCATATAAGGAGAGGGGTGGAGGGTACGTTTGAACTTCACGGCCTCTGAAGCCGCCCACAACCCACCAGGCCGGCCTCTCCGCCAGGTCAATCTGTGCAGCTTCCCCTAGGACCCGCATCTGCCCCTTAGGACCACAGCCCCCAGGAGCGCTCAATCCCACCCAGCCCGCGCAGGGATGGCGGCGGCGGCAGCTCGGGGGGACATCCCAACATTCTTGGGGTGTGAATGCACAACTTGTTGGGGCCGAAGCCAAACATTCCGTCCTTCTTCAATACCACCGGCAGACTGCCAGGCACAACACCCCGCGAAAACCCGGGCCCCGGCGTCTCCCCGGCCAAGAACGCCCTGGGTCCGCGGCGCCGGTTCCCGCCTCCCCGAGCTCCGCTCCTCCCGCAGCCGCCCGCGGCCTCCCTCGCTCGGCCGCCGCGGGCTCCGCCGGGCCGGCCGAGCAGCCGCGCTCCGCGGCGTGGGGGAAGGGCGCGCACGTGCCCGCGCCGCCCCCGCCCAGACAATGCCCCGAAGCGCGGGGCGCGCGCCCGGCCGGCTCCGGCCGGCTCCCGCCAGCACTTACCCTTCTCGGGGTCCCCAGCGACAGCGCGCAGGGTACGGGGAGGGCAGGCAGCGGCCGAAACCCCCGCGCAGCGGGCCCGCCACGAGGTCCGGAGACCCCCGCAGCCCGCGGAAGCACACGACTCGGCGGCGGCGGCAGAGCTGCCTCGGCCCGCTCAGTCCCGGACGTCAGCAGTGAGGGCGGTCCAGGGGAGCGCGCGCGCGTGCGCGAGGGAGCCAGGGTGGCGACGCGCGCGGGCGTGTGCGCGCGGCCCCGGGGCGGAGCTAGTCGGAGCGCGGCGGGGGCGGGGCCCGCGAGCGGAGGCGGAGCCTGGGGCGGGACGAAGGCGGGGTGGAGCTCGTTGGAGCGCGGCGGGGGCGGGGTCCGCGAGCGGAGGCGGAGCCTGGGGCGGGACGGAGGCGGAGGCGGAGCTCGTCGGAGCGCGGCGGGGGCGGGGCCCGCGAGCGGAGGCTGGGCCTGGGGCGGGACGGAGGCGGGGCCCGTGGCGGGGGCGGAGCTCGTCGGATCGCAGCGGGGGCGGGGCCTGCTGCAATAGCCTGGTATCTAAAGTCCTCACTTTGAATGCACCGGGATCCCATATGGGCACTGGTTCTAATCTCGGCAGCCCGGCTTCCCATCCAGCTCCATGCTTGTGGTCTGGGAAAGCAGTCCAGGACGGCCTAAAGTCTTGGGACCCTGCACCCACGTGGGAGACCTGGAAGAGCTCCAAACTCCTGGCTTGGGGTCAGCTCAGTTCCAGCCATTGCAGCTACTTGGGGAGTGAATCTTTGGATGGAAGATCTTCCTCTCTGTCTTTCCTCCTCTGTATATCCGCCTTTCCAATAAAAATAAATATATCTTTTTTTTTAAGATTCACTCCCCAAGTGAGGCCAACGGCTGATGCTATGCTGATCCAAAGCCAGGAGCCAGGAACTTCTTTCAGGTCTCCTGCACAGGGTCCCAAAGCCTTGGGCCGTCCTCGACTGCCCTCCCAGGCCGCAGGCAGGGAGCTGGACGGGAAGCGGGGCTGCCGGGATTAGAACCAGCGCCCATATGGGATCCCGGGCGTGCAAGGTGAGGACTTTAACCACTTGCGCCACCGAGCCGGGCTCAATTTTTTTTTTTTTTTAAGTTTTTGGACACATTTATTCCGTGTCCCCAGGCTAGCCTAGTGCATTGCGAAGGTGTTCCCTCAAAAACTTGGTGGCATAAGAAAAGGAGAGACAGATGCGACGTCTCAAGCCCTGCATGGCCAGGTGATAGAGGAATGTAGATTACATCACCTCTGGCCTTCTGACCCTGCGACCTGTGAGGGTGGAAAACAGATGAGCAATATTTGTTCAGTGGATCCTTGTCGTGTTCCTAGTGTGCGTTTCAGGCGCTGTGCTGGGGACTGAGAACACAGAGCAGAACCAAGCAGGGCTCCCGCCCTTGTGACCTGTTTATTCTGATTATCATTTGACAGGGAAACTTCTAACCTGAAAGGTCAAGAAAGACTTCCTGAGGCCAAAAGCCACGACTCAGAATCAGAATAGGAACTGGAGGAGATAAACACACACACACACACACTTTCATGGCCAAAAAAAAAAAAAAAAAAATGGAAGGGGGAGAGGTCAGGGCTGTGCTTGTGGCTGTTCCACCACGCTCTGGGCTAACCCTGAGCCAGAGGCTCGGAACTCTCCAGTTAAGCACTGGGCAAACTGGACGTCCATTCCCCCGGTTTGGCTCGGAGGGTGTGCTGGGCCGCGAAAGCTTGCAGGTAAGGGCCAGTGCCCCAGCCACCCTGGTCACTTCCCTGCCAAACACACGGAGAGCCTGCTTGGTTGAGCACCAGGGACAGAGCCCCGTACTGGGGATGCCAGGTGGCCTTCAAGCTAGGTGGACTGGTGACCGAATTAGGTAGGACCCCAAGGGTGTGCACATGGAAGAGGCCAGGGAGAGCTGAAATGCTCCTGGGCCAGCTGGTGAGAGGAGCAGGGAGAGGAGAGTTGGGGAATGATGAGACTCAGAAGGCCCCACAAGCCAGCAGGCATGCGCCGGCCTGCTAACTGATGCTGGCAGGGCGGTGTTCACAGCGGTGACCTGGAACGTGGCAGCGCAGACCGAGGAGGAATTTTGGCCACTGCTCCCAACTCTGCACACAGACCCGAGGCCCCTCCCGCCACTGTCTCCTTTGAGGAATTCCGCTCCATGTGATGTATTCTCTAGCTGCTTTTTTCGGGAGGCTCCCTTCTGCTATTTCGAATTGCTTGTGCTAATGATTGCTTAGAAGGAAACTGTTGTAAGCTAGAAGGAGACTCGGATCATTGTTTATTTTCTAGAAAGATTTATTTATTTATTTATTTATTTTATTGGAAAGGCAGATACAAAGAGAAGGCGAGACAGAAGTATCTTCCGTCTGCTGGTTCACTCTCCCGAATGACCACAACAGCAGGAGCTGAGCCAGTTTGAAGTCAGGAGCCAGGAGTGAGGGAATTCTGATCCAACTCCCTGCTAAAGTGCCTGCGAAAGGAGCAGAGCATGGCCCAAGTCCATAGGCTCCTGTACCAACATGGGAGACTCAGAAGAAGTTCCTGGCTCATGGTTTCAGACCAAGGTTGGTGCTGTTTGTAGCCATTTCGAGAGTGAAACATTGGATGAAAAAAATATCTCCTTCTATCTCTGAAAACCTTTTAAATACATAGATAGGGGTCTGGCGGCGTGGGACCCTGCACCCGTGTGGGAGACCGAGAAGAAGTTCCTGGATCCTGGCTTTGGATCGGCATAGCATCAGCCGTTTGCGCTCACTTGGGGAGTGAATCATCGGCAGAAGATCTTTCTGTCTCTCCCCCTCTCTGTATATCTGACTTTTCAATGAAAATAAATAAATCTTTGAAACATTGGTTAAAAAAAAATAGATAGAGAGAGAGAGATAAACACTGCTTGGAATACCTGGATCTCTTATTACAATATCTGCATTCCAGACCCAGCTCTGCTCCAATTTGTTTCTTGTTAATAGGCACCTGGCTCAAGTACTTAGGTCCTTGCCATCCATATAGGAAACACGAGCTGAGTTCGAGGCTCCTGGCTTCAACCTTGCCCACATCTAGCTTTGGGGAGTTTGAGGAAAGTGAGTGAGGAGATGCAAAATGGAGCTCTGCCTATGTCTCTGCCACTCAAAAAAAAAAAAAAAATTTGTTTTAAAATAGTGAAAAAGTGGGCCCGGCACGGTGGCGCAAGTGGTTAAGGTCCTCGCCTTGCACGCCCGGGATCCCATTTGGGCGCCGGTTCTAATCCCGGCAGTCCCGCTTCCCTTCCAGCTCCCTGACTGTGGCCTGGGAAAGCAGTCGAGGACGGCCCAAAGCCTTGGGACCCTGCACCCGCCTGGGAGACCCGGAAGAGGCTCCTGGCTTCGGACTGGCATAGCATCGGCCGTTGGGCTCACTTGGGGAGTGAATCATCAGAGGGAAGATCTTCCTCTCTGTCTCTCCTCTCTGTATATCCGCCTTTCCAATAAAAAAAATAATAAAAATAAATCTTTAAAAAAAAAAGTGAAAAAGTCCCCTGACCCTGCAAATGGGCAGGGGACGGGGAAGGGGGAATGACTAGAGAGAGAAAAAAGGAGCAGGAGCATTTAGAAAATAATTTGATAGGTCTGAGCCTGGGTTGTGGGACACTTCTAGTCCTGGCTGTTCCTGGCTTCCGCTTGGTTTAAAGGGCTGTTGCAATCATCCATTTGGGGAGTGAACCAGCAGGTGGAAGATCTCTCTCTCTCTCTGTAATTCAAAAATACAAAAAAAAAATCTTAAAATTGAAAAAAAAAGTTTTTGAATTGTCCAGGTGAAAAACAATGGTGGCTTACACTGGGCAGTGGGGATGAACGGAAGTAGATTCAAGAACTATGGAGAGAATACTGAAAATTTGGGGATGCACTTGGAGAATCCTAGAGAGGAAGTGGGGGCAAGGTACTGTCCCCTGCTGAATCAGATGGGCCCCAAGAAAACCAGCACCTTCCTCCAGGCAGACTCAGCCCTCCTCTGGAGCTTGGCAAGAGTTGAGAGGCTGGAAACCAGACCCCTGCTAGCCAAGCCTCCCATGTGGCAGCATTGATTGCAGCAACCACAGAAAGTGGGTCCAGGAGCAGCACGAGGGGAGCAAACTGTACACGGTGGTACCATCTACTGAGAGAAGGGAAGCTGCAGGAAGAATGGGTCGTGTATGTTGTTGTGGGAAGCAGGAATTCTCTGGGAGACATTTCAGATTTGAGGCCTCCCCCTGAAGATCCTGCACAGAAGTCTGTATCTCCTGCTCTAGGAGACGGGGCATCCCCGTGAGCACAGGCAGCCTGTGGCACAGTTCCATGAGGCTGCGCAGGCCTACAGGTTTCATAATCTGACATTTCAGACCTGGATTGCTGACTGTAAGTCGCACGCTGTTGCAACCTGACCACACATTGCTGTAGTTAAATATCAACGAATGCTGCAGACCCCTGGGCAGGGTTCTAAGCACCTCACAAATGTAATCTTTGTAATCACAGTTTGATTCTTCTAACACTTTAAGGAAGAGAAAAGTGAAGTACAGGATTTTTTTTTAAAAAAGATTTGTTTTTATTACAAAGTCAGATATACAGAGAGGAGGAGAGAGAGGAAGATCTTCCGTCCAATGATTCACTCCCCAGTGAGCGCAACAGCCGTGCTGCCGGCAGCCGATCTTAAGCGAGGATCCAGGAACTTCTTTCGGATCTCCCACACGGGTGCAGAGTCCCAAAGCTTTGAGCCGTCCTCGACTGCCTTCCCAGGCTACAGGCAGGGAGCTGGATGGGAAGTGGAGCTGCCCATGTGGGATCCCGGCGCGTTCAAGGTGAGGACTTTAGCCACTAGGCCACCCCGCGGGCCGAAGTGCAGGAAATTTGAGTAAGGAGTCACAGGACTGAGGCTCAAGACCAGGCACTCCAGCACTTACTTACAAGTGCTAAGTAAGGAACAGGCTTTTAGCACCAGGAAGGGCAATCTGCATCCCACACACTTGAGCCATCCTCTGTTGCTTTTCCAGGCCGTGAGCAGGGAGATGGATCCACAAAGTAGAGCAGCCAGAACTCAAACCAGCACCCACGGGATAACAGCGTCACAGGTGGAGGAGGGTTAGGCTGTATACCTAACCGCACTGGCCTCTACTTTCAAACA